ATGAAGCATCTCGTGTTTTAAGCGCCTGGTTTTTAGTTTTGTTGTGACTACCCTCCTGCATACCGTTTTCGCCATGGCAGCTTCAGTGTTTTCAGGTGCAAACATTAAAGGCTTCACAGCCTCTTCAGACCTTGTCGTGACTGTTTTGCACGGCATCACAAACATGAAGCGGAGCAGCTTTCTGCATACTTTTTCAGCAGTGTTTAGGACATCTTTGTTTATGTATGTTCGTCCGAATGAGTGCTATCACTCTTTTTGGTCAGATGGTCATTTAAAGGTCGTAAAGTGATTGAAGCCTCATTGCTTGTGGTTGATATGCAGAGGCACTCTTCTATCAATAGGCTCTCTCTCTCTCTCTCTCCATACATAACTCTCACTAGCTTCTCTGATAGGCCTGCATCTGTCTCATCCTTTAGTTGCTAAGCAACAGGCTTTGTGTGTGCGCGCGCGTGTGTGTGTGTGTTCGCGCCGGCGCGTGCACTCGTGCTTTGGCCTGCAAGAGAGGAGAGAGATGTTGAAAATAGAGGGATAGGCAGATGAGAGAGAAGTACTCAGAAAGGCGAGAGGGAAGAAATGAGAATGAGTCAGAGCACTGATGAAGCTGAGGTGTTGAAGAGGAAAGCGCCAAAAAGTACGAGATTGTCTCTTCCCTTTCCAGCAGCCTAGTTGCACCCACATGTATATATGTGTATATATATATATATATATGTGTGTGTGTGTGTGTGTGCCACTATCTTGGCGAGGTCACTGGCAAAGACAGCATGATTTACCAGACTGGCAGGCACGCAGGCAGCAAGCCCTGAGCTGTTATTGGATGGAACAGAGAGGTGTAAGGAAAAGTGGACGTGCTCAGAATAGAAAATCAGAACAAGTGATTGAATTCCTTCCCACATCTCACTCTGTCTTGCTCCCTACTCCATGAGTCTCATGGATAATGGGACCACTCCCACTCAGTCACATTTCAGATGTATTTGGTCATTTCCAGATGCTCTCATGTAACTGCTCATATCAGCTTTTGAGGAAGAGAGCTATTTGTTTGGTCAGAAAGGAACCGTGTATGTGTGTGTGTGTATATATATTTATATATGTATATTACACAGTGTTCCTATATCTCGGCCAAGATAATAAACTATTACATTTTTCAAAAAGAGCACCTGAAAGAAACTTGGCATTCACACTCAGGTTTTTCATTTTGTGAACCTTCTTTCATAAAACTTCTTGCACAAAATAATTCTCTCCTTTCTTTGTGCCTTTGGTTAGGTTTTTTTCTCTCTTTTTTTCCCCCTCCTCTCCTTTGCATTATACATCTCTCCTTGGTGCTTGTGCATTAGCACATGTTTGTGTGTGATGTGTCAGTCTCTTCTCTACACAGGTTTATAATGAAGTGAATGGGCCCGGGTCAGGGACTGAGCAGCCAAGCTGGGCTTTGGTTGCCAGGATACAGCAGCTGAGCCAGGCTGGCTTTATTTGCACTCCAAACAGGCTAGCTAGCTGCTGCTGCTGCCTTTCTATAGACCGTTCTCCTGCATAGCATTTAAATAGACTGCGAGGGTAAACATGTGCACAAACCGGGGCTCGATTAACAGAATTTCCATCCATATTGTATCATTGCTGGCAGAGGATCTCATATGTCACGTTTTGTTTGTATGTGCTTGTAAAAGTACGTCAAACTACACATTTCCAGCCGTCTTGTCTCATTCCATCACTTATCATTACGGGCGTACATCAGCAGTAGGTGACGCTGAGCCAAAGCATCACAAATGGGGCTGCAAACGAGGGCACGGAAGCATCTTGAGAATGAGAGCGTTTGACCTGCCTCACACTTGTATCACCGCTCATGACACAGTGCATAAGCTGTTGAAAATCTGTTAACCGGCTCTAAGATAGGAGCCGCCCGGGCGCGGGGAGTGCTCTGCCGACTCGTATCTGATTGTGCAATGTGCAGCCGGCTTGATTAGTCCCAACACAAACACAAGCGCAGACAGAGACGTGCCCATCCCCGCGCGCAGCTGCCGTGTTGTTCAGCTGTCAGGGTGGAAAATTTGAGGTGTGTTCTTGTGTGTACAATGAGAGTCATGAGTTAGGAGTGGCAGGGGTTTGGAGCAAACAACTGCTTTTCATCCCTGCACCTGTACTTTGACTTCTCAGCTGTGTTTTTGTGTGTGTGTGTGTGCTCGCGTTTTGCTTTTCTCCCCTCATGATAAATAGGTAGTTTTGGGGGGGATTGTTATTTGTAGAATGACACATTCACTTAAACTTCCTTAAATGCAGTTGCTATTATTTCAGTGGGGGAAAAAAAACAATATTTTCTGGTCCCTGACTGAATGTGGAGCGCCTTGACATTCGGTCAGGTATAGAAGTGGGCTGTAATGCCAGCATAAGTAAGCTGACGGTGTGTGTCAGTGCATCTGTGAGAGTACACACAATATGCTGCAATATGCTGAAGTGTTGGCCTCAGTCTGACCGCAGAGGGAGTGGCTCAGAGGATGGAGAGCGTGGAGAGAGAGAGAGAGAAAGTAACTGGGGGCATAAAAAGAAAGTAAGTGTTTGTTCAAGGGGAGAAGAGAGAATAGAAGTGGTTCTGGCGGGTCCTGCCCTTCTCTGGCTCTGTCGGCCACCTCTCATTACTCCGTTCTGAGGTCATCTTCGCCGTGGCCGTCCCTAACTTGGCCGATGTCATCCGTAAAAACCGTGCGACTCTTCTGAGGCTTCTCTGTTGTAAAGGACAGTCTTAGGAATTGCAGCGATCAGCAAAGGACAGTTCGCACCTTAGCTTTTATTGCTTCGTTTAGAGATAGATCTGAGGCTTTTATGTTGTTTTTTTATCACTGCCATTCTTCCATGTCTGATTGCAGCCCTTTATGTTTGTGTCCAGTCACAGACTGTTTATGCTCAGTCTCTTACCTCAGATAGTTGTTATCAAGCGCATACAGTTTTATTAGTTCTATCGACCAAGTTAGAAGGTCTTTTTTCTGGGAGGAGTTTCCTTTGAGTTGGCTTAGTTACACATTAACTTTTAAAGGCTGAGGTTGAATTCAGGAGACTGATTTGTATGAAACGTAGATCTTTCTTCTGTTGCAGTGTTCTTGGTTCTTCGTAAGAATAAGTTCATGTAGTCTGTGAGCAGAGGGACAGTTGTATTAAGTAGGATATGCTGACCGTGTTTTCAATATCGAAAGATCACTCAAAAGCACCGTCACTGCGGTTCCGGTTGAAAATCTGTCTTCCATGTTTGTACGACGGCGAAACACAAATAAAAGCCAAAAGCAAGGAAACGATACCTCCCCACCCCATCCCCTCTCTCCTTGATGGGGGTGTTATTTTTGTCCAAATGTTTCAAAGGTCCTCCAGACTTGTGTACACAAAAAGCACATATGGAAAAAATCAGCCTCAGTAAAAGGCGCTGGCAGACACCCAGTGTCAGCAGATATTTGGTATCACTTGACTGGGATGGAATTACAAAGGAAATGATTCCTGTGGTTTTGAGCAGGGTTTCCTCACAGTATGTGTGTGTGTGTGTGCGTGTGTGTTTTTGTGCGACTGCAAGCTTGCAAACATCATTTTCCCGCATTTCACATATCAGCAAAATGCTCCGATGCTATAACCGTCCATCATAGTAGTCCCAAAATAGAGCCAAGATTGTTGTTCTAGAAAGGCCGGCTGACCTAGTTTGAGGCGCGCCTCTGTGTAGCCGTGAGATTTGTTTATTTCTGACAATAGTCAACCTTCCTGTCACTTTGTTTGGTGTGGTCGTGAGTTGGAGTTTAGGAGGAGGTGGATTCGAGAGCCCACCAGTCCCATTGGGCACAAGAATGAACCACAAGAGAGAGGAAGGGGGCCGGTATGATTCGACCCCCTATTCCTCCCCCACATCTGACAGTAATGGATAGCAAATTAGTGGCCCGCTGTAGTCGCGGGCTGATCTGGTTGGCGTGCCGACTGTCTTGAACCGAGTGACTTGACTGGAAGGATATAAATAGCGGCCTTTCAATAGGATATCTGCAGAGTGGAGGGAGCAGGGATGGGGGAGGGGATCTAGAAGTGGCGCCAGGAAAGATACGAGTGCCAGTGTCTCGGAGTAGGGGAAGAAAAATGCACCTGCGGCCTCACGCGCTCACTCACTCAGCCAGTGACAGGGATGATCGTGCTCGGACGCACTCAGAAGAGAAAGTGCATTATGGAGAGGAGGATTGTGGGGCGGAATGCATGATTAATTCATGGCCCCTGCGAGGCACAGGGCCATGAAAGGAGGCAGCGGATAGTATGCATATTCTGTTTTGACCGTGTGCACAGTGGACAAAGCAGACTCTGAGAAATGAATCTGGAATCTGGAAATTCTACTCGTGTCCCCGACCCAACAGAACAAGCACTCGGCATGTATGGCGGTCGACTAGTATGAGAGGTCTTATCTGGTGACAATGGCAGGGCCGTGGTAGATCTCGCAGGCCACAATTACAGGGGTTTGCTGCGAGTAGCTGGTCCGTGTTGTGTTTAGACGTGCCAGTAGTTTTCTGAAGACATTCCTCAGCTGTTTTAAGATCGCTTGGTTTCCCACAACATGGGTTTACACATCATCTTACATGGCCCGTCTTGTTATATTGAGATCCAGCTTTTTAATGCTTTAGTTTTGATGTAGTAGATATGAATAGTATGCCCTCTTCTACCTATTGTTTCCATAATGTTTACTCCACCCCACCCCCACCCCCACCGAACATCCAACACAACTTTTCCAAGAATATTTGGCAGTGTGAAACTAGCGTCCCCTGCTCTTTCAGTTTTCGCTTTGAGAACTTAAAAGCATATTCCTGCCATAGCTGAAACTCTCCTCTCCCTCTTAATTACTTTATCTCCAGAGCTGTGGTGTAATGGCTGAAAATAGAGTGCTTGATGTGCTGCTAATGGCTGCATTGTCTGGCGGTGTTCAAACGTGTTTTCAGTCAAACATAGTTTCCAGGTGCTAATCTCCCCCACCCTTTCCTTTTGTTTTTCTCTCTGTTCCAGACGGTTGATGACGATGCAATGGCAGCGTGAATGAAGCTTGGCGTGGGGAGAGCTGAACGATGCCCAAAGGTGGGGGTTCTAAAACCCCCCAGCTGGACCACTTCCCACTTAACACCGACATGGTGGAAAAGCAGGGGGGGAAAAAGGTAAGGCAGAAAAAATGCACCAATTACAACCGGCACATGTTTTCAGTTGTGGTTTGCTCTTTAAACTAAAAGCCAAAACATGTAATTATCAATGCAAACCCTTTGAAGGCCTTACAGGCTTTTGGGGAACATCATTAAGAGTAAATAAGACAATCAATCAGCTTGTTTTGGATTGCTGGACAGACTGTCCATCACCTGAAAGACCTGCATGCCAAAGAGCAGAATTTTTGGACGTTCAGTCACCTCACCCTTTAGACATGTCACTTAAGGACCTGAACATGACTTCAATTGGATTAAAGAATCACCAGATAGAAGCTGAGTTTCAGATACAGCTGACCTGAACACCCCAGTCCAAATCCATGACCGTGTCGCCGGTCGTTCCTCTCCCCAGCAGTGTGTCAAACCAGGAAGGGGCTGTGATGAATGGTCAGTTGATAGTAATTGACCCAAAGATAGAACCTGCACAGAAGATGAATCTGCCTCACTGAGTGGTGCTTAATATGATAATCATGTTAGTGGTAATTGTACTGAAAGGCCCACTCGCTTCACTGAGGCCATTTTGTGGTTCATGCAGCTCCCTAACCCCCCCCCCCCCCCCCCCCCCTCCAGTGTAAGCTCCCGCTGAAGTCACACACGTGCTATCCTAGTTCTTATTTTTCTATCATCCAGAGCTCTTTAAACTTAATTGATGTGGAGTTCAGGCTTAGACTCAGAATATATTAACCAGTAATTGTACTCTTGAAATCAAATTCAGTAAAAATAACAATGAAAGCCTCCATATTTTACAACTCCACCACATCTACTTGAAGATGTGCAGAATTTCTGTTGCATCATAAAGTTTGTTTAATGCTTTTTTCCCCCTCCGGGCAGTATAGCTAGTATAGTATAGCTAACTATTTGAGAAGAGCTTCTGATATCCTGTCATTATAGACTAATACTTCCCGACACATGAGCTTTGAAGCCATCCTCCCTTCAGTGTAAACCAGAGACAGCTGCACGCTGTAGTTAACAGTGAAACGGAATATCAGGCGCAGCTTGATGATGTCACACCGTACCAACTGACAAGCAGCTAGCAGCAGCACAGACAGGCAAAGAGAGGAGAGGCACAGCTTATGCAGGCATGGATTTACAGCCCTCTGCAAAGGATTGCATCAGACTCTGGCATGGAGGGAGGGAG